TGTGTACCACTATCGTAATCAGAAATTTTCGACCTTTTTTGGAACAAGGAACACCAAGGTCTATGCATGTACTCTTCCGCAGTTCAGATATGTACGATTAACTGACTTTATATCCATAACGTTTTTTATAATTGATGAGGGCTTGTCGTATCTACTACAAAGCAAACAAACAGGGCGTAGCTGCTGATGCTTCAGAGTGAAGGTAGTTCTGGCGCATGTCTCTGCACAAAAGATGTGTGCATCACCAGGTCGAGTAGCAGGAAAGTTTACAAGGAAGCATGGATCGATTCATTGCATTTGTGCAAAGGTAAAGGAATCTCACTGACTACAACGGATTAACTATAAGCACCCTTCATAACAGAGAGTTACATGCAAAAGTGAGAAACGCGTAAAGACTCCAAAGCAGCTACTTACTAACAGCATTAAGCGGTGGCAATACGCGTAATTCCATGTGCATGTTACATTTAGAGTTAATGTATCAGGCACAGTTTAATAATATAATGTTATATGGCTTTGGTGAGTTACTTTGTGGTGCGATGGAGATCAGAGGCAGGCCTGAAAAATTCCGTCTGCTACGCAAGCTGTAACGCGAAGTTCAGTATTTCTTCGAGGCGTCTCGCAAGTAAAGCTAAGTATAACTGGCATGAAAGTCTACTTATGCTTAAGCAGCTTAATGGTCACTGCCTCCTAATCCATAATTCAAGGCAACAGATAAAAAGGACGGTGCAAGTTCCTTTACTCACCGAGGCGTTTCGACGACGCACAGTTCTTCACGGTAACAGTAGGCAGATGAGAAAGTACGATATCATGCAAAACAGTAATGGAATATTTGACTGACAGCATCCTTTGAAGATACATCCTTGGTGCACAAATGTCCTTGGTCCTTCGCTACCATTTATCTACCTAAGATTTGTGGATAACATCATCGCGATGCTAAAAGTTGACGTTTTCCTTGACCGTGCACATGTGCTTAAAAATTTCAGAAAAACTTTGGATAACTCAAGAAGAATCGACTATATAATGAAAAAAATGATGAGTCAAATTAGCAACTTGGAATTGCTGGTGGATAAAAAATGGGTTAAATCAGAAAACCCATTTGAACATTTAACAGCATTCTAACAGGCACTTCCGCCCAAAACCTTACATCCTCAAATCAATGCTTTAAACTACTGTAAACAATAAGAGGGGGGTTTCTGTAAGGGTTGCACCACAACTTCGGCATGAGATGAGTACTGAAATCAATTTTAATGCTAAAAATAACTATGGCAAAAAAAGTAACCCCATTGCCGCTATTCCTATGGGAACTTGGTCCATCACAGCGAAACAAAGAGATGAACGTGGTTGATGGAGTGGGTACGATGATTGCCACAACATCAAGAAAATTGAACGAAGATTTAAAGCTAATGTTGGGGAAAATCTTGCAGCTTTGAGGAATGAGAAAACAGAGAACTCAGGTTTCGTTTTCCATGTTTTCTTTATTCGACACTCCTGTCATCTAT